TATATTATTTCCTAGTTTCTCAACACGTTATCACCACGATTGTTCTATTTTCATAATCGAGTAAAGATGATCCAAGGAAGATAATTTCTTATCCATAAAAGATGAAAAGAGAGTTGTTTTGAAATATTTTATTGTTGTTTTGAATTGATAAAATATTAACCATCTTAATTTTGTTGTAGGTGAATTTTCGTGCAATTCACGAGTCTGGATGTCTGTTTTGGACCTGATACTGTCCGAATTTCAGAAAGTTCAAAATACGAAACTTGTAGAATTTTCTGTTGGCTTTTCGGAACATTTTGAATTATCGAAATCGAATCTCGATCAAGAGAGATATGCTTAAAATACTCAGCTCTGCCAGAGCTGTCCCTTATGCGAATTTTGAACATGATGTTCTACAAATAAAAGGGACGATTATAGGCCTATAGCCTACATTACATACGAGATTAAAATTCTTGATCGAGTATATTTGACTTTAAGTCTAAATGATAAGACTCTTGAACAATTGAGTTAGAGGGTATTCCCCATTTATAGTACTATTCTTTCATGATCCAAGTACTATTACGATTTTTATAATATATTGAGGCTTGAAGCCCAAATCGAGCACGTGCAATCAAGTGACTCGAAGATTTGAGTGGTATATTAAGAAGAGAAAAAAAAAACCGCTTGCTCTCTAGTTTATGCAACTTGAAAAGCTCTATCAATCGAAAAAAGAACTCGAAGTTCATAAATTTAGGCTCAAATAAGCCTAGTTTAAAATGAAAGCTTGAAAGCTTATGTGGAGGAATATTAAATATAAAGGCTTTAGGCCTAGAATTAAATTTGAAGGTTAGATATCTCGATTGAATATATTAGACTCAAGGTCTAAGTGATAATATTCAAAATTGAATATTTAAGTTAATGGGTATTTCCCACTCAAGGTACTATTATTTTACGACTAAGTACCAATTATGAAGGCTTGAGGCCTAAATCGAGTACATGAATTCAAGGTATAAAACTCAAACCTTGATATTTGAATAATATATTGTACTCGAAAGAACTATTGAGTTTGTTGTTCAATGATATATATATGAAGATTTGAGTTAATTATAGTACTATTATTTCATGACAAGTACTATATAATGATTTCTATGAAATCTTGAGGCTCAAATTGAGTACGTAATTTTAAGGAATAAAATTCTAATTTTGAGATTATATATATATATATATATATATATATATATATATATATATATATATATATATATATATATATATATATATATATATATATATATATATATAGATTTTTCCTTTGATATTCAGAGATACACTTTTCCCCCTAAAATT